AGCAGGACATACTCCTAGGACCACTTTTTCAGCTAACCAATGTGGGCAGCCAGCAACTGGATCAGCAAGACCTTGGTCAGTGACTTGCCACCATAATGTAGTAGCAATAAGTAGATCAGAACAAACACGTAAAATGAATAAATTAGTTCTTGCCCCAATAAAATATCTTATACCTTGTTGGCTTGTGTAGCCTTGCTGCCTTGTGCCATTAGCCTGTTGAGCACAATGGCAGAAATCAATGCTCTAATGTAATTCAATGCAATGCACTTGTAAGAAATATAATAGGATCATACCAATACCTTTGTTTAGTCCATTCCAAGATGTTTGCTACACTTACGGCTAACTTTACAAGGGAAATAGGTTTTGAGATATCAACAGCAATTTACACCTGGAGGAAAAAAAAAAAAAAAAAAAAGAGAGGTCATTTAGTCTTATTCTCCTATCTTGGAATTAAAGGAAAAAGTTGTTTATTTGGAAGAGTGAGCACAAACTGCAGATAAGCATATGGCAGCTGAAATTCAATACTTCAGCTTAGTCTTAGACCTCTACGAAAATTTCCCTTTTGTCAGAAAAGCTTACTTTCCTAATAATATCAATCTCTGATGCAGAATCATGGACAAAATGAGAGCTCACCCGTGAGCATGGGAATGAGGAATTCAGTACTCATAAGCAGTCTCGATTTCCATGCCAATTAAAAGGCAGACAAATCAACATTCAGGCCAATATTCCTGCCATCCTCATGAGCAATACCTATTCCTATTTCCTTATTAAGCAAAGCTAGTAAAATGTCTCTTTCTTTTAATAAGATTACAAAAAGAAATGTGAAGAGGCCAATAATTCTGCCTGGTCACTGATACCTTCTTAATGAGCTATCCTGAAACCACACAGCTTTTCTCTGCCTTAGTGCAAAAACTGCATGATCTCTTTAACTGCTGTGAACAGGAGAATAACTGTTTTCACTCTTCAGAAAAAAAATATCTGATGCTGATAATGGGAAAAAATGAGAACAGAGGCACAGCTATATCAGTCTGACAGATTTCAGAGGAAGTATCTTCCTGTTGATGGCAAAAAAATTAAACTTCACAAAGAGATCACTAGGGGAACACCATTGAGAAATGGGAACAAATCTATTAGCTAGAACAACAGCTTCCTATACAGAGCTCTTTCATTCAGAATCTCTTTTAAAATCTCTCTTGCTAGTGTCCTGAGCTGTGTCCTGTAATTTCTCATATTTAGAGTGGATCTGAGCTGCAGAGTTGTGGGTTCAATCAGTTGGAGACCTTTGCATATGTGCACAAGGGTGACAGGAATTGGGCAGCTGTGTCTACTGGTTCATCTCAAGTTCGTCTCCAACACAAATTACTTCACCCTACTTCTTTTTGTGTAACTCCTTCATAAAATTACTTTAATAAAATACAAATGAAACCATAAGTGATTCATAGTCCAGGAAATGGTAAGGCAATGTCCTTAACTCATGCAAGCTCATTTCACAGTATGTCTAGACTTTGACTACTAGTGAAGGAGAGTTCTCTTATCTTTATAGCAAAGAAAGAGAACAAAATACAAACAGGATTGTATTTTATAACATAAAACTTTCACTATATTTACATCTAATGGAACTTACTGGCAATATAAAAGAGAGGCAAAGGAAATTTACCCAGTGTAGTAGTTTCAATGAGTGATTTTCCAACACTAAAGACTTGAGGAAATTACACAGAAAAATATAAATATTTTAAGTCCTATTTTAAGGATGCCATTTCTTTTAACATAATGAATTGTGTTCTCATTTTCTGCTCAATATTTCATCTGTACATAAAAACATTGCTGTGTGCTGTATGTGAGTAGCCAAACCCCACAGTAAATCACCTTTCATCCCAAATGACAGAGAAACAGGCAAATGCCAGAGATGCAGCTCATCTAGAGAATTTATGCTAAATGCCTCCTCATCTTGCAAAGACTTTCAATATACAGTAACTTGGCTAAAATAAAATTCTCTTGTGCAGCTCCAAAGGTGTGAAAAAGTAGTTAACACTTAGCATTTAGCATCTGATAAGCAGCCTCTCCCATGGTGATCTCTGCTGAATACATTAAATAGGGCTCCTTCATCGAGGTTATAAGACCAAATTGAACTGGTTAATGTCCCACATTATATTTTTCTTTCAAAAATTCTTCCTAATTCAACTTTTCCCTCATTATCAGGGAGCCAGTTATACCACAAAGGTGTCAACTGAGAAGTGTACTTTGAGAAGGCCCAGATAAAACCCTGTAGAGGAGATAGCCTGAGGAGACCTAGTTAACAGCTCTTGATGCAGCTTAGGGATTTTACTGTAGTGGCTGTGGATCTTTTGTGAAAGGAAAGGCCTTGTACAAGGTCTCACTTCTTTCATGGGACTTTCTGGGAAACCTCTGCATCTTTAATCCCATCTAAAACTGGTGCAGCAATGCAGGGCTGCAGTGCTAAGCAAGCCCAGCAGCACAGAATGGGAAATGTGGGAGGTAGAGGCAGCTAGCAACAATGCTGGGCTGAGGGAGAAACCACTGACTAGTCAGCTGCAGTAAACCATTTGGAAAATGTCCAGATGTGATACTACATCTTGAAACTTTAAAAATTGTTTTTCAAGGAAAACTGCTTGTCAAAATACATTCGCTAGCTATTCTGAAAGTCTTGATTGCATTAAGAAAAGGAGAGGAGAGGAGAGGAGAGGAGAGGAGAGGAGAGGAGAGGAGAGGAGAGAGGAAAGGAAAAAGGAAAGGAGAGGAAAAAGGAAAGGAAAAAGGAAAGGAAAAAGGAAAGGGAAAAGAAAAGAAAAGACCACCAGGATTCCTGGTATAGTACTGCCTATATTCTGTTATGCATTCTAGCTTCCTTGCATACCTTATTCAAGTTTTTCTGCATTAGCATAGACCTCAAATAAAATGCATTTATTTTTTGACTGTTTAAGTCATTAAATCTTTTGCAATAATCTAAGATAATCAAGAGATCATGCTGTAAAAGCTGCAGCCTGAAATGAGCACTTCCCTCATCAGCAATCCATTTTGTCTGTGGAGAGCTACTGCTCACATTTGAATAAATTTATGAAATCAAGAGGCTGGAATTGCTTGTGTTAGAAAGGACTTTAGAGGTCATCTAGTTCCAGCCTACATGATTCTGTGATTCTGTGTTTGAAATATAAAAGATCAAGTCATTCACTGCCAATACTTTTATAAATGCTACCTCTAAGCATACCCTC